CCCTCGGAGAGAAATACATTAAGTTTGCCGCCTGTTTCTGGACATTGGCAAACAATTCAAGCCCTGAGTATCTCATGAGTACATGGACAATCTACAGCATGGTAGAACTTTCCATTGGCATATTCCAAGAAGACGAATTGATGGAAAAGTCGTTGACGAACCTACCAGACTGTGCCACAGGCATTATAGCTGACTATATCGATTCTCTTTGCAACGAGACAGCTGCGTGTGAAGATAATTCTCTCGGGGAATCTTCATATGGAAAGAGTTTATCTAATATTGACGAGGAAACCCTCACTCGCCTTGAAAATATACAAAAAAACATAGGAGTCTGGTTCCGCTTTGTTTTGAGTGACAATCTCAAGGGAACTCCTAGTTCTTATGAAAAACATGATCTTCAACAAGAACTGAGGATGGCGATTTTGGCTGCTATGCAACAAGCCAAAGCATATAGACCACTCAACAGCAGTCTTACACATTCTGACGCAGAGGGTGTTACAATAAGTACCGGTCAGACGTTCTGCACGTGGCTACATACATCTGCTGTCCATGATGTTAAGAGTGGGCTAGTCTCCAAATCCCTTATATGTAAGATTGGGGATGGTAGAGATGTCTTTCCTACAGCAAAAGAGAAGTACCTTGCCGAAAAACTATGGAGGCAAATATCCATCGAAGGAAGGCTTTGGAATGATGTCGGCAGTATTGAACGAGACCGGCTCGCATCGAATCTCAACTCTGTCAACTTTCCCGAGTTCTCGCTTCCTCAAAGTCTCAAGCTGGATGGTGATGTGAAGACGCAGTTGATTAAGCTGGCAGAATATGAACACAAGTGCACTCTAGCATACTTGGACGATTTGGCACAGATTTTGGAAAATTCTGGTCGTCGAAGACTCTCGTTGTACCTGCAGATGTATTACCTTTGTTGCACGATCTATTCTGAAACGTGTGTCAAGTATGCCTTCGGCTCCACCACGGCGACGTGAGCCGCAAATATATTAAGGGAGGATTTGGCCTCTTTTGCAATGGGTTTTGTTCCCATATTATAGGTTTTACAATTTTTAGCGCAAGGCACTTACCTGTGACTCTTTTGGTTTATTATTCTCTTTGTAAATATGCATTGTAATAGAATAGCATCAGTAGACTGTATGAAGAAAGTACCTTCAATATCGTCCATGGATGCATGAATTATACAGGCTATGGGCTTTCCCATGTTCAGTCTTCTTCAGTGCCCAAGCCCAACCCCTAGGGCCATTGGGGGCCCATCGTGGGCCTAGGGCTTGAGCTTGGGCCTTGGGCCTGGAGTTTGGGCCCATTCATGAGCCCTGAAAAAGACTATCCATGATGACAATCCCGATAAGAGAGCAAACAATACATCACATCGAGGAATCAGGTCAAAATGGTAAGTGATGAAGAGGTGCGTAGCCTATTGGCCTGGTCACAGGATTCTCCACTACTTTGATCATCCTTCCGCGAAAAGTGAATCTTCGCATATTGTTATGGCTCGTGGCTGCGTTTAAGTGGGCTACCGTCAAGGACATAGACTTGAGCCATGATATCAAAAACTTTGTTACCATTTCAAAAAGCAGCAACACTTCCGATTGGATTTATACCATGATGGGACGCTTTTCCTAATAGTTGCCTTATGATTTGCCTCATGGAACGATACTAGCTCGGACGCTTGCATATGGGACATGACCATATACATGCAGCATATGCATTAGTGCCTAATGTATGAAGCGGCGTGTTGGAATCGCCTCCCACCATCAGTCAATCAAGGGTACATTATAGAGACATTACAAATCATTATTGTACTTGTAGAGTGCCCAGGGCTTCTACCTGTCGGTGCCCACTACACACATCTAACTGCATGAGAGGATGTTGATGAGATCATACGCGCCTTGCATACTGCACTTGGTAGCAATGCCAATACCCGTTGGCGACCATTGTTCGACATAACTATTCTAACTGGAGGCTCAGAATATTCATGATCGTTGTTCGCAAGCATCTTGATTTGTAAACCACCAGAGTGATAGTGGCTGTACCATACGAAAAAACCAATCAATATCCTCGCAGCTCGACCAATTATCGGTCGTATTTTTGATGTACAGTGCTGGTGCACATCTTCATATCCAACCACCAGCGCGTTTGCCGGTCGAAATATGTAGGTTGTTCTTGGCAAAATCAGGAATGGCGCACCCTTGAGCCCTACCAGGCTAGCAGTTGGGGCGTTGGGAAAGGTCGGTATATTCACAGATGTATGCATGAATCTGTAGAGTACTTGCGTGCGACCTGTCATAACCAAGGCTCTATCAACGTAATCTTACATCATACAAGCCAATGAGTGTCACTCAGCCACAGCATTCAGCACAGGAGCGTGCGCTTATGGTTGACTCACCCAGTGGAATGCCTTACTCCAAGCCAATGATCGCTACAATTTGCACCTAGAAACGGTATTTCAATAGGTGATGATTATTTGTAATTCAGTTCAAAATCTTTATTTGTGAATAGGTTCAATGTATATCTAGAGGGTAAATACATAGGGGCTTCAGTCAACCTTCCACAAAAAACAGTTATTTTCGGCCAGGGTATTAGAGGTGGACTTATTATTCTTGAATCAACCATCTTTATTGTTTTCGGTCGCGGTGCTCAGCACAATAGTGAGGTAAAGACTAATAATCCTGCGAATGGGGTCAATGCGAAGGTGATCGACGGGTTGAATCAGGCTGGCGGTTGTATGACATCGGTGGTCGCGAGCTCCGCAACCTGGTCAAATATGTAGGGCTAGGACACCTCAGCCCCTATTTTACTTCAAATTACTGGAGCACATTTCACCAACCCAAGTGAGTCATAGTTGCAAAGCGCTTACGTTGAGTACGCAGGAGGATATTGACGCGGATTCATTAGGTTCAAGGCTGACCAAACCATTCATCGTCCAAGAGCTGTCGTGCTGACGGCCGATCTCGTGGATCTAGCTTCATGGCCCTTAACACGAATTCCTTATCTTCCGGGCAAATTTCCAGCGTAGTGGTGAGATGGAACGGTCTCAATGTCTCAGGAGGGCTGTTTTGCATGATCCAAACAAGAATCGCCAGTCGCTCCTGGTCCGCAATTTGTTCGTACGATTCTGGAAATGGCCCGAAGCATCTATGATGCTTCATGAGGATCTTGACATCGTATTCATCGTGGTCTGCAGGAACATCGGGCTTGAAGATGTGAAATCCTTCTCCGTAGAGGAGACTGATAAGCTTTATGGGGATGAAGATTAATAGTCGGGTTCAACCATTGTCAAATGGAGTTTAAACTTGCCATTGCACCAGATGACCAAATATCCGTTGCAGTGCCCTATTTCATTTGAAGCTGTGCTTCAGGGCTCCTGAAAATAGGGGTGCCGATAGGGTCACCATGTTGTGCGTAAGCAGAGTCCGCAGGAACAGTACTCCCAAAATCAGCTAATTGGACGTCTGCAAACCGGATATCACTGTGGCCATAGTTCACCAACACATTGCTCGGTTTGATGTCTACTCCCTGCTAATCAATAAGGTTCACGAAGCAGAGATGCCCAGAGCATACCAGTATGTACAAATCCCTCGTCATGTAAAACTGAAAGAGCTTCTAGCACCTTTTTCCTAACGAATTTCACCTCTGGACGAGTAAGACGTTGCTTATTCAAAGCGCGAAGAGCATCATCGTCTAAGTATCTCAATATGAGCGTCGGAGGAACTGCAGGATCTGTGATCTCATCAATTAACGGGCGAATTAAGGGAGTTCTGTTTTGGAAGTGACGTAGAACGTCTCGTTCGTTTTGTAATCGAAAATGTCTCACACTCTTCGCCACCGTTCTCATGATATTTGTTGCTATAATTGTTATTGTGGGCATGTTGTTCTGGTTACATCAATGAAAAAAAGCAAAGGGAGGCTTACGCAGCAAGCCAGACTGAGTCTTGTAGCTGCCTTGTGACTGTGTAAATACCTGTTTTGCCTTTCAAAGCCTGTCCAAGAACCAAAGCAGCCGCCATATCGAGCTCGATAAAATGAGATACTCCCGAAACGCTAGCAAAAGACGGCCACAGGTTCGTCTTCGATCGACTGTAGAAATATTGGCAAGGGACAACTTATACTCAAATCTCTCCTGTTTATTCAAGTGCCCTGTCTATAAAGCGGGAAGTAATAATGCCAGAATATCGCATCCGTGCCAAGGATTAAATTCAGTCATACAATGTAGTATCATGGATCTGTTCGAACAGTTAGTGGAGGGGCAGAAAACAGCTCCTATTGAGCCGTCCTTCTATTCCTTACTACTATCTATGCTCTATAGAAATTATATTATCTTTATAGCTTAGTATATCCATTTCAGATCCTATATCTTTATTTTACTATTTTTTATTTATTATTTTGTCACGGGGCGGCTCCCAGGCGCAAACAGCGCTGACAACCCTGGTAGTAAGGCCCACCATGCCCTGCAGCCCTCAGCTAGTAAGCCTAACTCTATTATTATATTTGCAATTTGTTCAGACTATTGGTCAGTTGTTTAAGGCCCACAGAGAGGTGAACGTTGCCTCTGCCCTGCCTGAGTCATCCCAACTCCGCCATGCTATGTGATACTTACTCTTGTGGGGATCCTATCCTTTGCTCACAGTGGTATCTCTAATATTGAGACTCAGGCGTCCGTCAGATGAATGACACTTCACAGCTCCCCTCTGGTCAACTGACGAATACCCTCACCAATCTTGTCAACGTGTTGCGGTGTACAATGTCACCGCCAGTACGCCCAAGGCGCTACTGCAAGGCTATTGAGATGATGCATGGATCTCCAAACTCAGCCATGCATGATGCCGCCGCCATGCATTTCAAGGCGGGCCAACTCATCAGACCGTGTGGCGATCATCCGGGTTGCCCACCCAAGGGTCTCGACAGTCCCTGGATGACAGCCTTAAAATGAAGCATCCGTGCTGCTGTCATTCCCAGATCACGCAAAGCTCTGTACAGTACCTCACACAGTCATGTCTAAAGAAATTGATCCATGCGGGTGCGACGACAGTGCACCCACTCGAGAGCTGGTTCTCTGCTTCGATGGCACCGGGAATACCTTCCGTGCAGATGGAAGCGAGACCAACATCCTCAAGATTTTCCGCATGCTGGATCGAACCAAAGATAACAGATGTAAGTCACATTGACTATGCAGTACTATCGAGGATAAGCTAACCCGCCTAGATTGTTACTATCAGCGTATGTAGCTATCTTGAATACTCCCTGCAGATCGCAGTCTCACACACAACAGCCGGAATAGGAATGGATACTACTATTACCACCCGGTCGATGGTAAGCCTAGCATTACAGCCTTTCAGAAATCTTCCCACTGCAGGGATTCTCGATCAAGCCCTGGCCAGCTCATTTGACGAACACGTTATCTCGGGTTATCGCTTCCTCGCCCGCCGATGGGTCCCGGGATCCCGCATCTATCTTTTCGGCTTCTCACGAGGAGCATACACAGCTCGTTTTCTGAACGAGATGCTGGACTATGCCGGGCTCATCTCCGCCGATAACGAAGAAACCATCCCATTTGTGTGGAAGGCGTTCCTCAAATACAAGTTTGCGGACCCCGGTCAGGAAAGGGATGACGCTGAAGCGTCTCTGCGACTCAGTCGAGAAACCATGTGTCGGTCTCCAGGTCTGGTCCATTTTCTGGGGCTTTTCGATACTGTCAACAGTGTTGCTGAGTTCGCCTTGGATGTCAGTAAGGATAACGAACTTCAGCCGAGCCCGAAGACCATGCGACATGCGGTTAGCATCGATGAAAAAAGAATCAAATTCCAGCCCGTGCTGTTCGAACCACCACCCATCGACGGCATGAAGGCAAAGACCCATCGAGTCAGCACGTGGGCGGCAAATGGCGAAGCTACTATCTCAAAGCTCCCTCACCCCGACGTAAAGGAAGACTTTGAGGAGGTGTACTTTGCTGGAGATCACAGTGACGTCGGGGGTGGGTGGCCATCCCAGAAAACAAAGGCTAGCCAGATACCTCTTATGTGGATGGTTCAGGAGGCCATCAGGGCCGGTCTCACATTTGACCCGATCCAGCTCTCAAAGCATGACTGCTTCGATCCAATGATGGGGGACTACAATCGCGACATCCTTAAAGCTGCCGAACAGGCCGAGATCCATGATTCACTTGACTACGACTTTGGCAAGGGGCTTGAGGTTCTCTTTTGGCGCTTGATGGAGTATATGCCCTTCAAGCGTACCAAAGTCGGACCCGACGGGGAGTTCCATGAGACTCGATGGCACGGCCGTGGCTTGCGAAGACCACTTCCGCCAGCAGCCAAGATCCATTCCAGTGTGTTTCATCGATTGCGTTATGATCGTGATTACAAGCCTTTCAATCTGGGAATGGGGAACAAAGACCAGGAACAGAGTGAGCTTGGCCAGTGGCGACGAATCGAACACGATCCAAGCGAGAACGCTAAGCTCTCTGTATACTTCGTGAAACTGCCCAAGAATCGGAAGTGAGATACTGATATGTAATTGTATGCTGTCCATTGTGTTCATTCTACTGTATACGTTGTTTGCTTTCGTTGGACTGTACTCTGAGCGTGTTTTAATGCCTATGTCCTTTTTCTCCTTCTTCCTCTTCGGATTTTTTTAATAGATATTACACCCTCCTTGACTTGCACAATTTCTGCCACACATAGAATTCAATATACTCTACCTAGCACGTTATTTAGGATGTAACTATACCATACATCAACCTTTCTCTAGGCATCTTGATGGGTCTTCTTGATAGCGGCAATCTCCCAGCCCTTTTCAATGTCATATCGTCTCCATCGAACTCCAGTGACACGCTCTCTGAGACTCAGAGAAATGCGCTGGTAACGCGTCAGGTAAATGATGTCATTGGGCATCAAAAGATCCAACCCTACTGCCAGCTTTGTACACATCGGAGTTAGTGAACGCAATTTATATTCTCCTAATCTGCCCTGCTTCTCTCTCATCTACTATTGGGGTTACTTCCACGTGCAGGTCGGTTTCCCCACAAGGTAACTACTTTTTTTTTTTTT